CCGTTGATACCTGCCATATTCATAATAGAATAAAAAAGTACCATAGGCCATCTTCTGGTGTTTCTAGCAACATTGTAGGTCGAGCAAAGTTCATCTACGGTGTCGACGCCGCCTTTTGTGCCATTATAAAATGTTATAATTTCTGGTTTGTACTTTTCACCAGTGGCAGGATCAATTGTGTCGTCATGGTGCATACTCGATGCTAAAATTACGTTTTTGTATTTTTTTGGTATATATGAAACTATAGTGGTGCCTTCTTGGAACCCAAACATAGAAGAAGCCACAGGGCGTGTCTTTGTGTTTACAAACTCTAGTGGAAGTTCTTTCTTGTTTTTCCGAACTGTGCCTACGTAAGTCAAATTATGCTTTTCGCGGAGAGTGGCGATCAAATTAAAACTGGTAAACCAATTATCGCATGTGACATTTCTTCCGCTACCAGAAATAGGAGCTATCAATCGTAAAACAATACTAGCCGGGTCATTGTTTTTGCGATATAGTCCCTCAGGTTGCAAACCGACATAGGGCTCTAAAGTTAGTGTGTACTTAGTTTTGGCATCAACAAGGGCAAACACTTTCAGGCCGTACTTATTAGGCTTTGAGGGAATGTATTGTTTGAAAGCACACCTGCCCCGAAATCCTTCGAGTTTCTCATCAATTGTAGCATATTCACTGATGGTGTATGATTTTTGGCAGTTGTCGGCGAAAATTGTAAAGACATCCCTTATTGGAGCTAACTTGTCTGACACTTTTCTCTCAGTTCGTGTAGTTGAATCATCGAAACGTAGATGTCGAATAAGAAATAAAAAACGTTGCTTAGACATAGTTAGCCAAAAGAGTTCAATGCCGCTTCCAACGCGTTCCCACAATTCATCTACATTTAGCCTGTTACTTTTCAAAACACCTGCCAGATATAATAGTCCTAACACGGCTTTTATCTCTACTAAATCCGTTTCTCTGGCTGAACGTTCTCTAGCAAACTTATCTTTTACGCTATTTATATGTTGATTGGTGTATTGAACTATGAGATTCAGAATATCGTTGGAAAAGAATAAACTCCAACAGTCATCTATAGATTTGGCATTTTTGGCATATGTTTTTGGTCCTGGTAGGTGTGTAACTAGATTAGATTTACGAGTTCTCACAGTTTGCGGTGGTCGATGTTTTTTCCAAACTGTTCCATCTTTTCCTAAAAAAGTGGGAACTCGTGAAGGTTTTGGGGCTGGGCCTGCTAAATCTTCAACATCACTTTCTGCTTCCTGTTCTGTATCAGTATCAGATAATTGAAACTCAACTATATTTTCTTCGCCATCAGATTCTTCATCATCAACATCTTCAAGATCACTGTCGACCTCTTCTAAGAGTCGACGCAAATGAGCTTGCTCTTTCTCGTATGACATTATGTTGTCTAAGAAAGATTTTTATGGTAAATAACATTTACTAAATGCAAAAAGTTTTACTTACACGGCTAGTGGCGCCAAGTCTGGTGGACCCAAAAATAAAATACAACTATGAAAATAAAAACAATCACGCTGTATGAACTACGGAGCCCAACTGTCACTATTAGTTAGGAAGGTACCCAACAGCGCATGCGAAAAAGTTCAACCCCACCTTTTTTACAAATAAAATTGCAACGCCCGGGTCTGATAGACTGGGCGCTACCACTGCAGGGTTAAATTTTTGTTATTATTGAAGATTTTTTTTTAAACAATCTGGATAACGTTGCCGATGTTCTCGAACTACTTGTAATAAATACTGTAGTTGGTCTTCATCCTTAGTGAGATAATTGTTATATTCTCCAATTAACGCAATTCCTCTTTCAGCTACGTCATTCGTTACTTTTAACGTTTTAAAAAATTCAGTACATTCGATATAACTATCGTCATCAGACCAAGTCGAAATATCCTTTGCTAAAAAATCGCTAGGTAAATCGAATTTTTTAAACAGTTCTAATGATTTTTTTGACACAAAATCACTTAAATCTTTTTGTAAAATTAATTCAAGCTCATTTTCGAGCACTTGATAACGCTGAATTGTCGTTGTAAAAGCTGGGCGAGAATGAATCGCCTCAATCATCTTTTTTTTTATATCTACGGAAACGTTGGTATCAAATAAAGAAATAACAGCTAATTCTTCATTTAAGTACCACAAGTGGTCACTCATTTTGTCACAAGCTTTTCGTGAAACAGCCGCATCAACGCTATCATAGGAAATCAATTTTTTTATAAATTCAAAATCATTATTTGGTGCCAAAATTGCAGATGTCGCTGTATACCACGCTTTGATGTAGAATATAATTACAAAAAGACAAACTTGTCGTAAACTATTTGTTTCGCGGGGCGAAAGGTAGAATTGATCTCGAAACATGAATATTTTCAAGCTGTAGATAGCTTTGGACATCCATCGTGCATGATGCATGGCCCCAGGACGCTTAAAAATGAAAGTTTCTGCTGACCAGCTATCAAGAAAAGCTAGTGATAATAGTAACAATTCTTGATAATCGTCTCGGGGTTGAGATATCTAGAGAAAAAACGTTAACAAATTATCTAATAATGAATAGTTATGACCATCGTAGAAAAGTATAGTAAACAATTTTTACCTTTAAGCAATTGTTAATAAATTCGACGGTTTCAGCGCGTTCATTCATTAAAATATTTGCGACAATTTCGTCCTCCATTCCACTTTTATACTTTGACTGATCAAGTTTGTCCCACGAATTTTTGAAACGGCCAAATATCGGTACATTCGGACCCGACGTCGTATTCCAATATACTTCAAAAACTCCCCGCAAAATAATTTCCATTACGTGATGGCGGCATGGGAGCCATACTAACTTCCGGTTTAATTCTTTTTCAATCAAAACAGATGTTCCTTTGTGAATACCTACAAGTAAAAAAAAATTGTAAATCAACAAATAAGATTAAATATAAAAAATTTAAATTAATTTATTCATTGTATTAACTTTACCGGTATTGACAGGTGGCGTGTCAAAACACATCGCTTTCACGTATGAAGCTATATTCCATTGATTTAAAGTTGAAATCACAGCTGAAGCCTGTTGATGTGCTGTCCCACTGTCAGCTTTTGGAACTCCAAGAAGTTGATCAATTCCATTAACGGATAGAAGAAAAATAAATTTTTTGGAATTGGTTGATTTGTTTGGATAAATGCAAAAAATGATCAACAATTATAGTTTGAAAACCAAAATTTAGGTTAAACAAAAACGAAATAAACTATGATTTTTTAACCCACTGATACTAAAAATGTTCGGAAAGAGTTTCACTGACCTTATTATAGCATAAAATTATAAACAATTACTATTTATAAAACTAAAGTTAAAATGGGCATAAATTTTTGTGGTGATTTATTCCAATAAGACCATCAAATTTATTGTAATGCATCAAAAACGTCAAAATTTGCGATAAATTTAACTTTAGCCTAAAATAATTCTTCAACTATCAGGTTTCTCGCAAAATCATAGGAGACACTTTTTGTAGAGCGTTCAATTCTCTATAAAAATATGTGATTGAATTTTTTTCACGACACACGACGGGCTAGCAATAAAAATCAGAAGGTGCAAAAAAAAATTTTCCCATGTTATTCTTATGGGAAATAGAAAAACGCGATGCGGACGGTCTTAATATTAATATTAAGAGCTCAAATTTTAACTGGTATTTTTTTACGTTGAAAAGAAACTTTTGAACCTCTTTGCACGAAAAAAAAATATATTTTTTTTTTTAATCACCCTAGTGTCGATAAACATAAACGGCAATGATATGTGGCCGAAAACGACTCAAAAAATCCGAATATAGTATTTCCCCCCAAGTTATCATGGCAAACTGCAACTACAGATGCTTTAATAGGTTCTTGTGAAAAGCTGACTTCAATTCCAGTTGTTTCTAAATATCGCAAATCCTTCACAAGAGGCTGAAGAACCTCATTAATACCAAAATCTTTTAAATTGTTGGAATTAAAAAGAGAAACCAAGAAAATATTTTCTAATTTAGAGTTGAAGTAGGAAGGTAAATTTCTAATAGTAAAATATACAGCTCCCAGCTTGTATCCGCCAGTTTTGCTGCCTAGTGGATTCGTAGTTTCAAATTCATCAAAGTATAATTGTATCAGAAGTCGGTGTTTGTCATTTTTAAAAAAGTCAGAAGTTTGATAAAACGAACCATCGTAAATATCATAAAATACATACATTTCCAGCGGGCACCGTGTTTTGTGTTAAAAATGATATAAATGAAGAGTTAGCAAGCAAAAACCTTAAGAGTATCTATAACTGAAATATATGTCATTGTCGCAGCTTTATTTTCCTCGCGATAAATTTTAAGTTTTTTGTTGTAAATCCTATCTATTCGATTTCCAATAACAATGGTTTTTGGTTCAACTTTTTTTAAATTAATACATTTTCCAATTTTATGAACGGTATTGTAATTCATATATTCCGTTCAAAATTTGTCGATTACATTATCAATATTCGACCCACTAATATTGAAAGTATTTTCTTTAATAAAATCGAACACGCCATTTAGAAGCTCACTGCAGTTGTCAACAATGGTTTGTATAACAGTTGACATAGGTAATGACAAAGAAAATAATTTGTTTGTGAGTGTAGAAAATATCAAAGAAAGACTGGTTTGCATTAACTCGTCGTTATTTTCGAGTAAACTTATGTCATTTTCGATATTTCCTTCAAGGTCACTGCCATTTTTATCACGTCCATAACAGTCAGATTTCCCAACTAATGTAAGTCCTACATTACTGAAGTGTTTGGCATGTCTACACTTAACAATATGCCTTCTAAACCCACTAATTGAACAAAATCGGGTAAAACAATTCGAAAAGCAACACTTTATGTTCAACAAAGGGTTATCAACTATGGTATGAACATTTCTTAAATGTTTCACAAATGCTGAAACATTTTCGAATTTATGTTGACATTTGTGACAGTTAAACATAATTACAAGGAACAAAACTGAATCACGATTTCTATTTTTCGTAAAAAAACTATATAATAGAATACAAAATAATTAAAATTAATGAACATTATATAGGCGCGCAGCCAACTCTATCATTTTTGAAGTCATCTTTGTAGACTGTTTATCGATTTAATAATACGAAACTTGGAGGAATTTAAAAAACTGTTCTAAATTTTGATCATACTCTAAATTTAGAACGAAGTGTATTTTGAACAAATAATCTAATGCATCTATAAAAGCCTCGAATTTTTCTGGGAATACCTGCGAATTTACTACAATTACGAAATCAGATATTGCTGCCTTTGATGGTCCTCTTCCAAGAATATACGGCTGTCGATTTCCTGACTTATTCAAGACCTCGATCAAAGAAGAACTATCCTGTAACATAAGATGTGAACATAGTTATGAACACACTGAATAATACACGAACCTGCTGAAATACAAGCAACTTGTTTGCAAATGCTTGTACACTTGATAGTTGTGTAGCTATCTTCTTTTTTCCTTTTGGTAAAGGAGGAAGCATTCGAGAAAGTGCTATTGTTTGCTTAATGCTATTATCTGTATAAGACTCATTCAATGGAATATTGGTGACTTTTTGAAATATTTTCAACACGTTTTCACGATCGTTTCTATATTTCTCTTGAAAGGTATTTGGTATATATTCCGGAAATAATGCTTTAAAGTCCTCTTCCACCTGAAAAATAAGTACCAATAAACATACTGCAAAATAAAGGAGTTATTTCTTACCAAGCCTAGAGTATCAGTAAATCGAGGAAACATTTTCAAAATATCAATGTTCTTCCCTCTCCGCACATGGAAAGTTTCAATCATTTTCTGTTTGATCACTTGATGTTGAGTTTTACAATTAGCATTAACCAAAAATTGAAGTTTCTCTTTAGTGTCATCATCTATTTCTACTAGTTCCTCTTCTTTTTGTCTGTTACGTGAAAGTGATTTGTGCCATTCAGAAGGAAATCTTCTTTTCCTTGCAATTTTATCCTTGTTGTTTCTATGGATAGTTCTTAACGTATTTGCTAAATAACCCCCATTCGTTGCGGGATTGAAAAACATAGCCTAAAGCAAAAATAATAGGGAAATAAGCAATTGATACTTAATTTTGATAGTACATATGGAATTCCTCCTTCTACTGGGTTTCGAAATTTGGGAAATATCTCTATTAACTTTTCGGCATACTTTATTTTAATAGCTTTGCATGTATTGGCTTTATACAGGTCAAACATAATCCTTCCTACAATGTCCACGAGGTGGACACGTGATTTACTGGTCAGCATTCCACTTTCATTATACTCATCGATAATATAGTGACCTCAATATTTGAGAATTTTGATATACAACTCCTTTAAAAAGATACTTTCACATAAAATTCTATTTTAAAAGACATTACTTAGGTACGTCACGGGTTGGTATTTTTAAATATTCCAAGGTACCACTATCATCGCTATCGTTAGTCAACGTTGTGACGGAAGACGTACTTGGAGTCTTTAGCGATTCTAAAATTTTGTTGTTTTTTTTTTTTAACTTAATCTTAGTAGGTACCAATTTGTACTGACTCCTCAAATAGATTCTTGCTCATATAATTTTTGTTTTTTTACATATAATTTGGTGATGTTTAACAGCTTAAATTACCAAGAATTTATTTGAACAACCAGTATCGAATTACCTGGTGCGGAGTACGCAGAAGTACCAGCTTCATTTAAAATATCTGTTTCACCAGTCTCAATACTGTATACAAGTGTCGGCTGTTTTAAGAGTTCTTAAAAAACAGTAGATATTGGATTTGTATACTCAAATTGTGTAAGTAATTCCTGCATGTTTTAACTGGTTGTCAATTTGCATTTGTAACGTTAGTACATTAATGAACGGATCCTTTCTTTGGAGGTAATAAGGAACTACATCGAGATCAATTCCGACATGGTCTTCATCTTCAAAGAAAAGCGTTTCGGATTGTGTTATTCCAAACTTGTTTTTCACTAAAGACATAATTCTATTAATTGAAGTATAATAAACCTTTTTTAACAATTCTATTTCAATTTATTGATTTTTTTGCTTTTTTCATCAAAATATGTCAAAGCTAGACTAGAGAGAATTTATGTTATAAAAAAAATTACATGGCGCAGAATGAAGTTTGAGCAGGTACTCCCGGCAGTTAAAGTGTTAAAGACTGAACAAACGAAAAAGCATTGTTGGTGTATTTTGGTGAACTTAGCAAAGCTAAAACACTTTCTTCATCATGGTATTATCATCCTATGTTGAAAACAGAATAACATATTTCTTTGATTCTTCTGTAGTCATGGATGTGCGTGCCTGAGTGCAATTTGAAAATATTATCACACGCATGCGGTTATCTAAAAATTAATTTAGTTGGATTAATTAATTAAACGCGTGGGATAATCTCAAACATTAGGTTGTCCCAGTGATAAGAAAATCTCCCAGTTGTACCTAAAATGTCATAAGTAATTCTAGGTTGGTACATTTTTTAAGTTGCAAAATGGCATGGTAGCTTCACCAGAGAGAGAGAAATGGACTTGGTGAGGTTGGGTGTTCCTAGTAGAGATGGGCGCGTGACGAGGAGGAGGCAAGTCTCGCATGCGCGGTTGATGCGGCATTTATGAGTTCGTCTAACAAAGAAGTCATCACCAAAGCATTAAACGATTGGGTTCTAGCCTCTTTCTGAATGGAAGCTGGATCGGAAAGTGCGGAACTATCTAGAGAACGAGAAGCGGATTTTAAAAAAGAAGGACTCGCCCACCATAGGGAATTGTTCGGCAGCAACTCATGAGGGTATGCTCTCGTAGATCCAATGTCCGCAGGATTCTGACCAGATGATACATAGGACCACAATGCGGAGGGCAGATGCTGCTGAATAAACGAGACGTGATTGGAGACGAATGTCTTCCAGCGGTGCGGATGCGATTTAATCCAAACTAGACCTACCTGTGACTCTGTCTATGCACAAATGCTAGTGAACAGAAGTTTGTCATTGTAAATTTGACAAACAAAATTAAGGAGACGAGTTAACAAAACTGTGGCAGACAGCTCCAATCTCGGAATACTAATCTTCTTAAGCGGTGCTACTTTGGATTTAGCACAAATAAAATGAGTACGGGGTTCCTGCGATGCGAATCTGAACCACAAATAGACCACAGCGGCGGCGTAGCATTTTTCCGAGCTATAAGTGGGGTTAATTAAGTACCAACTTTTTTAAATTTAAAAATTTCATCTTTTTTTTAATAAACCTTTCAATTGTGCATGTCTTAATGCAAAAAGCACGTTTTTGTAATTGTTTTCTTTTTATTTTGAAAAACATGGGCTGTCCTATAAATAGGACACTGGTACTTACTGAGATCATTTTTAAGAAATGTAATTGAAGTTCAGTAGATCACAATGTAAGTTCTATTTTTAATCTGATACAATTATGTAGTAAACAAACTGTAAACTTATTTTGAATGATATGGTACAAAACATTTTTTGCATAGGGTCACATTACATTTTGTACAATAAGTCAATGGTTTTGATTTGCATTGTTGCTGTTGATATCTTCGTTATTTAGTACGAGTTTCCATAAAATTCTAGATAGTGGTGTTAATTCTTCAGTCTTGGGTAGCGAAGGCATACACCTGTTGCACACCTTTAAAGCCTGCTACACACACGCATGCCAGTCGGTCGATTTGGCTTGACAAACAAAGTTGAGAGAAAAGTCTGTTGGTTCGTTGCGTCTCTACACGCACCGACTTCTTTGGCGACTTACAGAAAACAACTTCAGTTGTAAAGTAAGCACGGCCTCGGTAGCACAAAGCGATGGCATCTGATGACATACTACTTGCTACAGCTGTTGCATTAATAGTGAAGACAAACTCAAAAAAACGGTCACGATCGACAAAAGATTGGTTACAAAAAAGGAATAAATATTCACACACAAATTTATTAGAAGAACTGCGACTGGAACCCCGTGACTGGATGAACTACCTTAGAATGGATACTGCTACTTATGAGGAATTGCTATGTCAAGTTGCACCATTAATTATAAAGAAGGACACAGTGATGAGGGTGGCAATTACGCCCCATGAAAGATTGACTGCTACTCTTCGATTTTTAGCAACAGGAAGAACTTTTGAAGACATGAAATTTTCAGTAATTATATCACCCCAAGCCTTATCACAGATAATTCCTACAACATGCCAAGCAATAATAACGGTTCTAAAAGATCAGTACATGAAGGTAAGAAAATTTATTTTTGGATAATATATGAATTATAACAAAACACACAATTTTATGGTGCAAGATTAGAATAATAGTCTGCTAGAGTACCATCGAGTGGTCGTTGCCATTGGTGGTAAGTAGCTTCGGGATTTTCTGTTTCTGGACAATACGCAGTTACGGGTTGGCGATTGTGCATCCTGCTGAGTTCACCTGGCAGAGTATTTCTTGCCACAGTTTCTATGGGGGCATGAGGAGCAACATAAGTAGCTTCAGTTACAGGAACTCCTCTAGTATTAGCTAAAATGCGAGAATGTTGCGTTAATGTCCCGCACTGTGCCCCAAAAATGGCATCGTTAATTATTTTTGTAAGAAAAATCGCTTGAGGTTTCGAAACTTGTCTTAATTGTTCGGCAACGTGTTTACCAAAGTTATCAAACTCTTTAGGATTTTCCACTGGAGCTTGTAGCTTGTGAGCTACAATATCTAGTACGGCATCTGCTTTCTTGGTTCTTTTCACTGCTCTAGAAGAAGGAGGAGTTCCTGATCTAGACGTCGGCGTCGTGTTAGTGACAGAACGCCGAACCTCTGCTTTGTTAGCAGAAGAGATTTTTGATCCAGCTGATGAAACGCTAGTAGAAGGTGGCGAAAAAGCGTTATATTCATCATCTACGGTGGAATGCTTCATAATCTAAACTAAAACGCTGTGTTTCATCTTCGGTTTCTCCACATGATTGTGTGTTTTCTTCCTAAAAATAAATTTTAATATCAGTGTGTATGTACTTAATTTCAGTTTCCCAGCACAGAAGATGAATGGAAAAGAATTGCACAAGAATCTAATGCAAAGTGGCAGTTTCCTATGTGTATCGGTGCAATCGACGGAAAACATATCAATATTGTTGCGCCAAAAGGAAGTGGCTCGTATTTCTTTAATTATAAAAAGAGGAACAGCATTGTATTAATGGCAATTGCTAACGCCAACTATGAGTTTATTATGTGTGACGTTGGTACCAATGGAAGAGTTTCGGATGGTGGAGTAATACGAAACACCAGATTTTATGAAAAACTGTTAGCTGGTACATTAAAAATTCCAAACGTTCCTGATGGCTCCTTGCCATATGTATTTGTTGCTGATGAGGCATTTGCCCTCCGGCCAGACCTGTTAAAGCCTTTCAGTCAAAAAGAATTAAATTACGAGAGACGAATTTTTAACTATCGCCTTAGTAGAGCTAGAAGGATTATAGAAAATGTCTTCGGAATATTGGCAGCCCGTTTTAGAATTTTCCACACTGAAATTAACTTAAAATTGGAAACAATAGAGATTGTTACTTTATGCTGTTGCCTTCTTCATAATTTTCTCCGCATAAAACGCTCATGTCACTACATGCCATCCAACGATACTGATCAAGAAGACTTTTCAAATGGCACCGTTGTCCATGGATTGACGTCAGATGGTATTTTTGATGGCTTACAGAGAACACCGGCAAATTTATCAGCGAATGCAAAAATTAGTAGACAAAAGTTCTTGGAATACTTCATTGGAGATGGTGCAGTTGAGTGGCAACATCGTATGATAGCAAATAATGAATAATAATGTTCATTCACTGAGTACCGTAGAACGGGGTGAAACGGGACATGCGGAGCGAAATGGGACATAGTGTTATAACGATGACGAAACGGGACATAATTTTATAACATATGTCACATTTTGCCCCCGTGTCCCGATTCACCCCGTTCTACGGTATTCAAACTGAATAAACCATGTTTTCAATAATAAGACAATGTAACTGTTTTAATTACCTGTACTCTATCTTGATGTATTTCCTCATCATCAGGGATGTTGCTTATTGAAGGTCGAGGCTCATCTTGATCGATCAAGAACAGAAGTAGCTCATAGTACCAAAGTGTGGGTGTATACAACTGGCCGGTGCCGGTTCCACTTCTTTCGGACGCTAGCACTTTTCTGTGTTCCTTCCGGAAACACGTTCTGAGGGAATTGATTTTTTTCACAACAGAATCTTTTGTTGCATCTTTTTCTACTTCTGCAAGTTTTTTACTAAGTTTCTGATAAGCAGCACTTTTTTTTTGTTTGTTGCTGTAATCTTTATTTTTGGTTTGCCATAGGCAAGGGTTTTCTTTGTAAATTTCTATAAACTCTCTTAAAAATTCGACACTACGTGATCTTCACATACACATGTCTCGACTTGCATGACGATATGCTTGTACGCAATCGGTTTTGTCCGATTTCATACAAGCACAGATTCAAGCTCAACTCAAGCTCCGACTTACGCTACACCAGGGGCGGCTCATGACTTGAAAAGTTGATGAGGCAAAGCACAATACGCTCCAAAATATAAATAAATCAAGATTACTTAAATATTTTCTACTTAGTCAAATAAACAAATTTGTAAACTCATTTAACTGTCCACCAAGAACCAACGTGAAGGTGTAAGGAACTCTTGTAAGGAAAGGATGGGAATGACAGGACAAAAGGAAAGGGAAACGTGGTCAGAAAAAACTAATATAACTTAAAAAAAAAAACAA